ATAAAATAAATAAAATCAGAGCATAGCTACCACAATAAACAGTGCTTACATGATAAAGCTATCATTTGTGCACAGCAGCAACAGGTAGCTAAATGATATACATATATCACAGCCGTCACCTGCTTCTCAAAAAATGAAACCAAATGTGGCAACAACTCACCGTCCAATGCACTTCAATTGAGGAGGAAGAAAGGATGGTCGGGTTGTGCAGGTGCAGGACGACATTGCCCAGCTCCCTCTGCACTTGCTTGTGGTCCACCCCCTGACTTGTTGGCGGGACATCTGCAACCGTACAAGAAGAGTGGGTCAGGGTCTTCGCAGCTCTGACAGGTCAGTGAGAGATTGGTGAAAGAGTCCTTTTATTGATAGCAACTCCCAGGGAGAAGAGTCACTGGACTGCCAAGCTCACTTGATGAAGAACAAAGAGCAACTTAACCTTGCTCTTGGGATCCAAAGGATAGTGGCATCCAGAGATGGAGGAGAAGAAGAACAAGTAAAAGACCACACAGGGCCAACAGGGGCAGCAGACAACGGTAACACCGGCAAAAGCCACTTCAAGGGTTCTTCCTGTCCTGTGATGATAATTGTCTCTGAGAATGAGAACACTAGTGTCATCTGAGTTTCTTAAATCCTTCTGCTACAACAGGAACTACGCAACAAGGACAAAGCAACACAACATGGCACTAGAGTGGCTGGGCAACAAAATGTGTGGGGCGCTGTGAGCAGAGAGCCGGCTCAGAAAGGAGTCTGACGCTTCACATTTTCACAGTGACCTCCTGTTGGCACCCAAGACAAGGATGACAGCAAGTGAGCGCTGAGCCACCAATAAGCCTCAGGAGAAAGCCGCCCCTCGCACCCATTGGTGGTGACGGCTTGGTCACCTCGCTGGCTGGCCGTGCTGGGTAGCCGCTGCGTCATGGCCGTCACACTTTAATGAAGAATCCTCAATCACAAGGGCACCACGATCTCAGCAGAAAGATCAAGAGCAGCGTAAGAATTAAACTGCCGTCCATGCGCCGGATTCTGCCCTTTCTTTTTTCCCCCAAAAGGAGGGGTTTTGTTAAACTCATTAAAGTTTGTTTGCAGCAAAAATTTCTTATTTTCAGAAATGCTTTCTAATGCAGGTAAGTTGCCTTATTAACATCAGTAAAGGTAAATACATACTAAAAGAAAAGAAAATACAGTTGCTTGTTTTTCTCCAGAACTCTGCTTCTCAGAGTATTGAATTTTGGCACACATATTTTAGAGGACTCACCATCCACGAGAATGCCAAAATGAAAATTTTAGCTTTCTGAAATATTAAACACCTTCTAGGAACTAACCTTTGGTGAACCAAAAAAGGCGTGAACATTAGAAACGAAATTTGTATCTGATAAAAGTCAGGGAGGCCAGGCAAATAAAAAAAAAAATGACTATTAAGGTCTCAGATACTGTTTGCTAATAGTAGGTAATTAACCTATGAATCAAGCTCACAAATAAAATAAGACCCACACCTGGGGTAACTCTTGCTTCATGCACATGGCTACTGCTGGCCATCGGCATCCTGTTGTCACAGACCAGGTATAGCGTCTGCTTACGGTCACCGCTGCAACTCATCACCATGCCCCATCACCTCCCCTCCCCTCCATCTCTAGGGCCAGAGTGCAATGCCGAGAATAAGACCTACAGGGGTGCACACCCCACCCAGCAACTCCAAAACCTTAACGTACCGGCAATATTGATTCTTCAGTTTGCTGCGCGTCACCTGGCGCTACAAGGCAGGTCCCTTGGAGGACCGTGGAGACACCCGCACTTGGGAAGTCTACGAATTGCACGGGGCAGGCCGGCCGTGTGGCCGCACAGTGCTTCCCCAGCACGACTCACATAGGAACCATCTGCCTTGGGGGAGCTGTCTTCAACATAACAATGTTATGAAGTAGGTACTATGATTGCTGTCGCAAACCTTCAATTCCCCTGATTAAACTAAGCTCGCCAGTCTAGTGCTTCAGAAAATTTGCTATTTTCCTCCACGCATGTGCAATAGAAGTTTGTAACAGTATTTTAGAAAATTTCCCATCAGGAAGAAAAATAGAAAGCGATGTGCAGTATTACACATTTGAGAAGAATATGAATTGATCTTTCTTTGTTCCTTTCTTCATCTTTCTGAAAGAAATGTTCTGAATTACAAGGTAAAAGTTCTTTCTCAATGTTCAGAATCAAACCTGGAGGAAATCTTGCTGTTTCATGTGACTGCTTTTCTGGTACTGGAATTCCCTGCATAGGACTGCTAAGGAGATGCTTCATGATGAAATGGAATAATTGGTATTTCCTTTCGTGCACTCTGCGCATACTCAGTTACATTCTGCGCAGTTACACATTTTATTGGAAAATGGCTACAGAAACTATGCCTGGCCCCTTCCAAATCAATTTTAAGCAGCCCTTTCTTCGACCCCTGGTTCCTCCCCGTTGGGTCACAAATTCCCTGCCTCCGACAGGACCTTGTTCAAGTTCCTTCCCAGGTTCCTGCTGTTGCCCTGATCCTCAGCCAGGCTTTACAGCATCTGAAAAGCTGTCCCCAAATTAAACACTGACATCGGCCTCCATCACTTGTACTCCTCAGTCCTTTCCTGCTGAGCAGGGGTTAGAAAGCCTGTATCTTCCAGATGGCAATTTTCTGAAAGAAAGGATGTCATATTTCCTCTACATTTTTTATTTTCTGAACATGCCAGGAGCTTTGAGTTTCTTTTGCTACGATGTGACTGTCCACTTCCCTGCAGCACCGAGAACCCTTCTGCACTCTTCAAAATCCATTTGGAAACACAGGGCACACTGCAAGCACAGGGCTTCCTTCATGGTCAGACCAATTCCGAGGAAACGGGGGAAGAGGACTGGGTCTAGACAGAATTCTCTAATCCCAGGAAAGATGGCATTTGTTCTTCTAGCAACGTCATCACTCGCTGGGTCCAGATAGACTTATTTTAGTTGACTTTAAACACTAATTTTGCACTTTGCCAGAGTCTGCCTCTCTCTCTCACACACACACGCACACGCACACACGCACACGCACACGCACACACACCCTTACGCACATAGTTCCCTTAAGCCTAATGTTCTCAGTCCACTCTTTCATAGCTAATATCTTAAACCTCAGTCCAAGTACCAGATATTTTAATCGCTCTATTAATTTTAATCTTGTTAGTGCTGCTTCGTCATTGCCATCTCTCACGGCATCGTTGCTGCCGCCACCCCCTCAGGGTCACTAGCTGTTGTTCCTGGTCTGTGACAGCTGTACCTTTTATGAACTTTTAGGGCAATCTCTGAAAGAAACACAAATATGCCGTGGCATAAGACTGAAATCTGATTTCATATGCTCACATGTTGATTAATTAACTTAATCTGTGTCCTTTCTGAGGAAGGGATTGATGTAGCTCAATTCTATAAGGGGAAGAGTGAGGTTCAAAAGCCTGGCCGGTCTGCGTAAGGCCACAGAACACACACACTGTGGTCACAGGCCACAGGCTGAGGAGCTGAGGTATAACAGTTTTGGATTCCAAAATGGTCTTTTCCTTCCCTCATACCAGTCTCCTGATTGGCACGGGTGGCTGTCACTGAAGTTTTTCCACTAGCTATGCTTGTGTGAAGGGCACTTGATTAAAACCTTTAAAAAAATTGGTGTTAGCATAAAATATTAACTACATACTCATTTTAAAATGAGTATATACTACAAAATCATTCATAGGAGCAAAAAGATAAAAGAGTATTAAGTAGCAGTCAGTCAAAAACTTTCAGTCAGAATACACTGGCAAACCCTGCACCCGGGACAGAAGTTTAAATGCACTTTACAGCTGTCATAATTTCTACATTCCTTAAAAATGAGTGTCTACTATGACAATCCTTAGGTTGCCTCAAGGCAAGCACCAAGGACACCACAGCTTCTGCTGAGGTGACTCACAAATGCAAGGATAGGCGCTGGGTGTGTTGAATTCACACAGCAAAAGACCGACGTGGGCCTGTCTGACAGCTTGCTTGTCTTTTCTGTGAAGGTGAAGCAAACAGTGCTCCTGAGAACACTGGCCATCTACATACTAAAAAAGACAAAATGGTCCATAGGGCTGACAGACCCTGTCAAACCGGGAAAAAAGCTGTGTCTTGCAATCATCTTGCACATAACTTATTCCTCTTATTATGACTAATGTACAACTTTTCCTTTGGAAATGTTAACTCAAGATAGAAACATAGTTCCTTTGTATGTTCAGCGAATAATTTTATATTTCCTTTTTTTATTTGTGTATTTGGTACAGGTCTCACTACTCAGTTCTGTGAATAATTATATATATAATTATAATATATATATAATTATATACTATATACTATATAATTATATATATATATATATATATATATATAGTGTGTGTGTGTGTGTGTGTGTGTGTGTGTGTATTTGGTTCAGGTCTCACTACTCAGCTCAGACTCGAAGTGATCTTCCTGCTTTCAGCCTCACCAGCTCAGGGATTACAGGCATGCGCCACCAGGCCGGGACTTGGCTGCCAGCTCAGTGTGCCCAGGGGAGGGGCTGGCAAGGCCAGCAGGACCGGGGATCAAACAAAGCAGGCGCTTAGTCCACTGAGCTATCTCCCCTGCCCAAGAATTTTATATTTCTAATCATATCCACTAGAGTTATTTTTATTTGCTAATATACAAACAAGCACTTTTTAATTTTAACAGCATTATGTTTTAAGAAAAGGTAATGACTGATTAAAATGTATTACTTTTCTTCAAAAGAAAATAAATTTTACTCACAGCATTAAAATAATACCGCAAGCAAGAGAGTGCATTAAAAGATAAAGTTAATTTTATAGAAGATAAAAACAGTATGTAAGCAATTGTTAAAGTGAACACAATTCCCAGTTTTAAGTATCTTAAAAGTGGCTCTACGTATGTTCATTTTTTTCCTTTTCTCTGTGTCTTCAACCACCTTTGACCAGAAATAGGTCTTTTCCTATTTCATATGATAAATAAGTTTCATAGATCATGACCCACATAACTGACACTGGAAGACAAGTCAAACACCAAAATAATTACTTTTCCCATGAGGAGGATAATTGAGCAGGTGGATTAAGAACAAGTTTCCAAAGATCTCATATTTGTGTGATTTGGGGAGCATTACCTGGTTAAGGTAGTAATTCTGAAAATTCACCAAAATGATAGTGGATACTGAAACTAACGGTGCAATTTATAGTTGTATTATAATTCAAATGTTAGCCCCACCTGTAACTATATTCAAAAATCAAGATATTTAATAAAATATGCAAATATTCACTTTTTTGTTTTAGTGTAACTCTGATTTGAAGAGAAATAATCCTCTATACTGTCAATACTATCTTCAAATTCTTAGTCCAGAAAATAATAAAGTTTCTCAGATATTTTGTCTGTATCCTAAAAATTAAGCAACGTGGACAATAGATTGTAAGTGTTCAAACCTAATACATAGTACACTGAGTGTCTATGCAGTTATGATATTTAAAGAGAAGTAGGTGTCACACAGCGAAGCGAATCAGCATTTACCTTGTGTTTTCACTGGATCTGATATTTGGCTTGGATCACTAATTCCATATGCGTTAGCTGCCCTCACGAGGAAAAGGTAAATTGCGTTAGGTTTCAGTCCCTTAATGGCAAATGTTTCTGTTTTCACATTCTCTGCCACAGTCTGCCAGCTGCTGCCAGATGCATGGCTGCAGATAGAAGCACAAGTTAGAACACGCATATTTAACGGTTAAAGAAAACACAAAAGAGCAATACAGGAGCATCGTCTTCACTCTACCTGAAGGCCTCTATGATATACGACGTGGGAGTAGCTCCTGAATTCAAGTTCGGCTGCCACGCCAGAGTCACAGTATTTCTGCTAACATCCGTAACTTCCGGTTTTGAGGGTGCACTAGGGATTAAGTTTGGGTCGGTGGGCCTGGGAGGCTGAACAGGAACTCCAAATTCTAACAAGAGAGAGAAAAAAGAAAGATGTGTCTCACTATCCAGATAGGCAGACGCATGTAGATTCCATGCCCATACATCTTCTCAGACACAAATACATTTGCTCCACCAATTTACTAGTAAATAAACAATTGTATTTTCAGCTTTATTTTAAAGCAAACATACAAACTTACCCTGAACTTCAATGTAAGCACTCCACGTGGCCTCCCCGCTGGGGGTGGATGCAGTGCAGGTGTACCGACCAGTGTCACCCAGCTGCGAAGGCAGACAGAAAATAAATATTTGGCACAATCAAAAGCTTACTGGGCTGGAAAACCAATTACAGGTTTGTATATGGCCCATGAATATGGATAATGACATTAAAATGCACTAACCAGATTCTCCTTCTTAATTGAATATGTTTTATTGAAAGAGAAGGAAAATACTGCATGAAGGAAAAAAGGAAGAGATTTTTGTATAGTCACTCTAGTTATATAATAAAATATGATATTCAATATATTAACATATTATCAGAGACAAAGAGTGAAATGCACAATTTTTGAACTGAAAGAACTAATATTTTTTGCTCACTTGTACCATTAATAAATCTTATGCTTAATAAGGCCAAATTAAAATTTTATCAGTAACATCTCCATAGACATATGAGATAAACAGTTATTTTCAGGAAAGAAGATAGGAAATAGGCATAGAAGGATTTCTTCTTAAAGTAAGCTCCTCTTTTTCCTGATCTATAAAAAATTAAGATTAAGGTAGTTTAAGAAATACAAGGCAAAGGGGCTGGGGAGATGGCTCAGTGGAATAAGTGCTTCCTTGGCAAGTGCAAGGGTCTGAGTTCAATCCCCGGTTCTAAAAATAAATAAATAAATAAATAAATAAATAAATAAATAAATAAGGCAAACCTCTGATCAAACAAATATATTATATCTCCTAAAAACTGGATGCCAGGGGGAAAAATCCCTGGCTGCACATCCACTTTGAAAAGCATTAGAAGCACAATAATTCTTACATCTCTTCTTCAATTATAACCTTGGACATAACATTTGACAAAGCAAGAATATTGTCTGTCACTTTGCTCTAACTAATAAAATTACAATAGTGTCACAAAGCAGTAAAACGAGATAACTTGTGGCCCACAAAGTGACCTGTAATGCCAATGTAATCCTCCAAAGAAGCCACCCACAGAAGACATTAATGCAACAAAATGTGTGTTTCTTGCTGCCATGACTTGTTTCTTTTGTGCTGGGAGCATGTCTGTTCTTGACCCCAAAAAGAAAAACCAAAGCAGCAGAACACAGCCCTGAAAGAGCAGGTGTGGAAGGCGATGTCTGGGAAAGGTGAGTCACTACGCTTTCCAGCTTGTCACCATTTAGCACTCTAACTGGAAATGTACACGTACAGCGTACAGAGCTTCAGGTTTGTATATGCAACACTGTGCAGTTGTAAAATACTGAACTAAATACTCTAGAAGAGCCGGTCAAGTATACTGCAGATAAATCCGCACTAGACTATGTCTTGGAAAAAAGCTGCATCGTATCACTTCTTGCAAGGTATTTTCTCCCCACAAATCACCATCGCTTTCCCCCAGCAGGTCTCAGAAGGCTTTCTCCTGCATGGGACCATAAACTATTTACCATGGCTAGTGAGGCAAATCATTTCAAACGCATACATGCTTGTAAAAATTGTCTGAAAAAAATAAAGCTTCGAATTAAAAATATGTAATAGTTTTACTTAATAATGCATTGATCCTAAAAGATTTCAACACTAGTTACTGGAGACAAAAAAAAAAGTAGAACAAAACAGGCTGCTGGGGGGTCATTTCCAGGTACCTTAGCATATCGGATCTGCAGCACTCCAGACTCCAGCTGTTTGATACGCGAATCTTGGGTCGAAACGAGAACTCCGTCCTTTCTCCACAGAATTGTGGGCACCGGGCTGCCTGAGGCCACACAGCTGAGCACTAAGGTGCCATCCACTGCTACCGTCTGATTCACAGGACCTTGGCGAATGACTGGGGGAGGCCGGTCTGCAATCACTGCCAGAGAAACAGTGGAAAATGGATTCTGCAACTACAAGCAATTTTCTAATCATCCGAACAACAGCAGTTGCTATAGGCTTTGAGACAAACTAAAGATAATTAAACAAGTAATTAAAGTAGGAGACATGCATTATTCAGGATGCATTTCCATGATGCACTGATTCAGAATACTAAAATGAGATAGACGTACTCCTCTCAAATGACCAACCACTGACTGAACTTGCTTCGCTGTCAAGGGATCTATGTAAGAGCTCAGTACTGAGTGGGTTGTGCATGGTGAAGCAGATCAACAGTTGTGAGGAAGAAATCCTCTCAACAGAAAAACACACATTAAAACTCTTCTCCCCAGGAAATACACTAGATGAGTTTTAATGAGTGATCCAAAATCAGCTTGACAGTTTAGAACCGTCTGGTGTCCAACAGAAGAAGTGCTGGTCCCGTTCCAGCATGTTTAACAATTTTGTTTCAGAGAGGGTTTCACTACACTGTGCAGACTGGCCTTCAACTCACTTTATCACCCTGGCTGGGCTTGAACCCAAACCAATCTTCCTACCTCAGCCCCGTGAGTGCAGGGTTTATATGTGTGGGCCACCAGGCCTGGCTTGTTTAACAATTTTGATTTCAAAAAGAGGTTTTGGATTTTCATTTACAAACTGATTGGATTGAATTCTTGTATCTTTTTATTTGACTTTTTTGATATTAAAATACGCATGGGTGAAAATTGACCAAATATAATGATGTCACAGGTTGTATGATTAAAAAGGTAACGCAAGGACCAGGAGATGACTCAGTAGAATAAGCACTTGTCTGGCAAGCACAAGGGCCTGAGTTCAATCCCTGGGTCCACCAAAAAAAAAAACAAAAACAACAACAACAACAGTAAAAACAAAATGATAACTCAAAATGATGTTCAGAAGAGACAAATACTATACACCCATATTGGAATTAAAAGGAACAGCAAACTGATTTCTGCGCACTTTGTTGCAATAGTTTTAATGTACTTAAAGTAGTAATAAGAAACACTTTATTATATGCAACTGAAATGATTCTTATGTAAAATCTAAAACCTGAAAATTTTCTTTGAAACAAAGTCATTATTTTATGGAAAATCTAAAACAAGTACAGGAAGCATAGAATAAAACCAATAGAAAGATGTTCCTATCTCTTAAATTATGCACGTTTTGATGCAACACCACAGATTTTTAAAGGAATAAAAAGAAGAGCAACTTCAAGGCTTTCTTGTAATTACTAAGTTTCAAAAATTCTGAGTATCAGTTAAAACAAAAAAAATACAAAAAAGAAAAGAGTAACTCCACAAAAGAAGACTCTAAGAATTTGCCTGATTAGAAGAAGCTGTTGCCAGAGTAACTACATTTGGGATGCAATAATTTGAAAATCTGCAAGTGTCACGTTCAAAGTTTTATGCATCAAAGATTTTCCTAAGCTGGATTCACACCTCAATTTGTTCCTCATTAATCATGCAGTAATTATTAGTTTTGTAGATCCAAAGATTTTAAAAAAGAAAATCAATGGATGAAGCCAGTAACTGCAACTCCACTCACTCTGCTCTTCCAGGATTCTGCTACGCCTTCATTAACTTGTGTAAAATTTGCTAATTCTATGGGGCATATAAAAAGACAGAATTCTGAAACTTGGCAGGAGTGCTGAAAGCTACTACATGGTTGAAAAATGTAAGCCAATAATTCCTTTGCTTAATATTTTTGAATTGCTTCTTCTGTTGGGATTTGCTAAAAACAGAAAGGTCTCCTTAATATATATGATGAAAAGAATGAAAACATATATTGTATTGGGATTGTATAAAGCCACTTGTGTTTCTTTTATTATAAGAAGGAGCGAATATGTACCTCCAGACACTAAATTATTAAAAGAGGGCTTCGATCAAGTTGGTTACAATTAAATCGAGTGAGGTGGAGTTTACATTTGGTAGTAAATCTGGAGATGTACTTACTTCAACTTCTATATTTACAGATGATAGATAGATAGATAGATAGATAGATAGATAGATAGATAGATAGATAGATAGATAGTTTTTTTTTTTTCCAGAACCAGGAATCAAACTCAGGCCCTTGTGCTTGCCAGAGAAGCGCTTATTAGACTGAGCCATCTCCCCAGCCCTAGGTCTTTTATATTTGCATTATATTTAGCACAGCGCCGATCTCTCCATTCTTCCTAACCCAGTTTATTGATGTTTTCTCTACATTGTGTTTACTAGGGAGTCAACAAAAAATAAAGCAGGGGGGGGAGAAAAAACAGCTCCATCATTCACCATGTGTTTTGGGGCAAGTTCTTTAAATTCTTTAAGTCACAGAGTTTTCATTTCTTTTTTTAACCTGTAAAATGAGAAACATGCTTGTTCTAACTATCTCAGGGGATTGCTTTGGAGACTTAAACATAAAAAAGACTGTGACAGTGCTTGGCTAACTGAAAAAAACATGACATTCACAGGTACTCTGTTATCATCTCTTGTTCTTTTCTGGAAAAATACCTAATATGTGACTAGAACTGGAAGATTTAAGAATTCATTAAAATAATTTCAGCTTTTGAGGTAAAACAAATGAAATCCTGGCATTTTCATTTATTAGAGTAAGATACAAATGGAATGTTTAAACTGACATACACCAAAGAATTACCACATTTGAATCAAATGTATTTATAAGGTAGGACCTAGAGGGCTAATTTCAAACGAGGGTCTGCTAGGCTCTCATTGATATTATGAGAATTGAAATACAGTATTAGGTGGTGAAGTGGAGCACAAGAAACAGAAATGTTGAAGTAAGCACATGAGTGCTGGGTCAGAAAGGTGCAGTTTTGAAAAATACAAATATTTCCATCCATTCCATCTGATTCCTACAAATCATTATTGTGCACTTGAGTTTAAGAGAGGTACAATTTTACTTAATTTTAAATAAATTAAATTCAAATATCAGTGGCTGTCTGTAGCAAGTACCTTGCATATTGGACAATATAAAATTGTTTTAAATCTTAGTACTGCTGCTGCGTACTTCTGATGGGCTTTGTGCGTGTCTTTCACTATACTCTCTCTCAGTTTCCTCATCAGTAAAATGAGTTGTCACATTTAAGACTATCGATTCATAATAAATTCTTAGCATAGCGCCACACTAAGGGAACACTGAACAGCTGTGGCTTGTTGCTAGCATGGACACACTAACAGCAGCAGCAGAAGCAAAGGCAGCATCATCCATGGCGTGACTCTGTTGGCAGAGTTTGTAACAACCACCAGTCTCTTCCCCACATGCAATGAAGACTGAACGGCCCTAACAGAAGTTACATTATTAGAATATAATACGCTACCATGACTAAAATAGTGATCATGCAGACTACATTAATGTATACAAATGCATTTGTGGAGTACTTTTAAAGCAAAAAGAACAGTGAACACCCACTGACTTGTGTTCATGTATGAAAAATTCACATTTAAACACCAGTGAATCTCGGTTGTATGACACAATTATCCATTTGCAAAAGGTTTTCAAAGCATCCTACTGTGCGCTCCTTTGGATTAGGCTATTCAATGGTATCCTCTCGCTTGCTTGTTTATTGTTATAGTAAATTTTTATGGAATTTTTAAGTAACAATAATAAAAACATCCTTATATATTTACTATCTCATCTTATTTATGAAATCAGATATTAAAACTTTAAAAGTTCAAGTGACTTGACCAAATTAAATGATAACTGATGAGTCCTCATTTTATACACAAGAGATAACTCTCTTTGTAAAAAAAATATATATATATGTATATATAACTTTTAAGAGAGGAATACAAATCATTTCAATATTAGTCATCGTTTAATAATCGCTAACTTACTTTTCTTACATTCTAGTAATAAAGTAAAGACTTTCAGGTAATTTATGCATAAACCTGTATGCTCCTGAGTCAAATGCTGCTAGTGGCGAGGCACCACCTACAGAGAACCAATATTTCAAAGACAGCTGCTGCTTTGTGTCTCATGCATTATTCTGCCTTTGCCTTTGTGCTGTTTGCAAACAAAAAAGAAGGTCAAGAAGGATTGAGGACATACTCTGCCCGCTCCGCATCCTTTTGACCTGACCTGATTATATATAAATGTTGATGTTGTCTGCACTCACGATAATTACAGTCTTCCCTACAAAGAATGAATCCACATATGTAAGTTTTAAAAAATCAATAAACTGAAAAATAAAAAAGAAACTAACACTATACTATAAAATGGCAAACACATAACCACTTAAATTCCCCCAGAAATTATAAGATGAAACAAAATATTTAGTGTTCAGAATGAACTGGCTACTAGGAATGAACCTCAGATTCACATACGTAGTTTTTAAAAACATATTAGTAAACATTCTTTGTGCAAAATCTAGTCACAAATACAAGCAATTCATGATAGTGTCATGTTAACCGGCAAAAAGAAATTTTTACTTTCAACTATAATTGTGATAATAAGTGATACTTGAGACTAATTTAGCCTGTTTTCTTCCTGTTTCATGTGTATCTTCACACACATTGCTTTACAAAGTTGGGAATATAAATACTTATGCGATGCTATATTCTACATTTACTGTATTTTGTAGTCTTCCCCATCATTTAATGACTATATTGCACACAATGTAGAGCTATCTATGCTAGGTCATTCCAAATTATTGGACCCAGTACATGTATAAAGTATTTTAGACAAAGTGAGCTTTTGACTGAGACAATCCTATTTTTTTTTTTCATTTATGTATTTGGCACAGGGTCTTACTATGCAGCTCAGACTCGAAGGGATCCTCCTGTTTCGAGCCTCCCCAGCACTTGGATTTCAGGCATGTGCCACCACACTCGGGCTGACTGAGACCAATCCTACTTGTGAAGTCCCACTTAACCAAGACCTAGGTGTTCCCTTCTTCCCTACTTGTTCTTTCAGTCACTCAAATAATATTCACTGAGCATTCACCACATGTTAGATGCTAGGTGGACACTGGCTCACGATTAACTTCACTAAACAGAAATGAGCCCCGATGTCACAGAAGAGAGCCCAGGCATGTAGGAAAATAAACAGAGAACACGGGAGGTATCGACACAGTTTCTGTGCTTGTGGTAGAGGCAGGGAGTAGAATCCATATTTGAGGACTAAGGAATGCTTCTTGAAGGAAGAAGTTTACCCTCTGAAATTAAGATTAAGAGAAATATACTCACTATCACCAAATCTACTCACTATAATGAAAGTCACAGACAAGTTAAGAGAAAGGAAAAATAAGACAGATAAATATTGAGGAAGAAGTAAAAATGACTTTTGTAGTTGGCTTATGTTGCACTTTCAGGATAATATAACTAACAAATTCTTAGAAATAGAGGTAGATTTACTAAGGTTTCTTGATGTATGATTAAATATATTAAGCCAACTGTAAAATTAGGAACGTTCCCAAAAAATTCAAAAATGACATTTGAAAAATACATATGCAGTCACATCAAAAATCATGAAACATTTTAGGTTTTCCTCTACTAAAACATGTGCAAAAATCTAGTCCAACAACTGTAAAACACTGAGAAAAAATTGAAAAATCAAAACTGATATGTATTATATATAAATTACTTTCTTGAATTGAAAGCATCATATTGTTCAAATGTTTATTTTCCTTAAATTATCTAATAATTTATATGTCACGATTTTTTGTTTTAGAGGTGTGCTGGGGGGGGGTAGAATTTGATTTTCAAATTTATGAGTAATGCAGTGGATCTCCAATAACAAACCTAAATCAAAATAAAACAAAAATAAAGACTAGCCCTACCAGTTTTTTAAAAGACGACAAAGCTAAAATAATTAAAACCATTAAGAAGTAGTATAAACTGATCAGAGGAACAGAATAGAGATAGTACAACTGCCCACACATCCATATTCATTTTTGAATTTTCATAAGGTGCTACTTTAGCTAGATAGGAAAAGGATGGGATTTTCAATAAATGATTCTGGAACCATTAGTTTCCAAATGGGGTCAAAAAATGTTTTTGCCCACTAATTCACATTATACACAAAATGTTATTTCAACGTACATCAAAAAAATTGAATATCAAATATGTGAAACATGAAGTCCAAGAAAAATTAATAGAACATAGCACTAATCACAAAATAAAAAAATAAACATTAGACTTCATCAAATTAACTACTTAATTTTTATGTAATAATTAATAGCATTACTGGGAAGAAATTACATATATATATGTAATTTATACACACATATATATATTTGATTTTTATGGGGAACATATGAAAAAGAGAAAATAGTATACAGGGGCATATACAGCCAACAAAAGGCATACCAAGATAGCTGAGGATGCTGATCAGTAGATGTGAATCGGAATATTTAGCTTTAATAATAAAACTCTTACACAGACAACAACTCATCAATAAGGAACCGTATACATGAATTGGGCTTTATTTACGTAATACACAACACTACGAAGAGAATGCAAGGCATACTGATATGGCCATGGGTGAATTTTACTAGCACTATTTTGAACCAAATATGTCCTACACAAAAGAGCAGTGTATGATTTAATTTAGCTGTACATTTCAAGAATGGCACAATAAATCAAAAATGATGAAAGCTAGAAGGGCGAGTATCTCTACCATAGAGTACTGAATTGGAAAAGTCAGTGGAAGCTTCCTGGGGGTCTCAGAAATGTTCCGCCTGGTGATCTGAGCGGTCACTACCTGAACAGCTTCATCAAGCTCTACTGGCTTACTCTCAGGATCTACACTCTACTTCCATTTATATAACTGAGGTGAAAGCAGCAGTCCAGATAAAAAAAAAAAGTTCCATCAACTATATGGTGGTACTATGTGGAACAGGAAAAGAAACGAGAATAGGCCACACGTACTAAAATGTCAGACTACAGCTGATTCAGACTGGGAATTATAATCGCGATAGAAAACACTTGGTTGATGGGAAGGACTAAAGAATAGATATGCATGTAAGACAAGATGAGACTCAAAGATGAGTAGTTTCTAATTACAGAAGCTACTGTTATTATATTAAGTATTGGAATCATTTGAAGCTGAAAAGCACTCTGAATATATACAGCAAGCTTCTGATTTTATTCTTTTATTCCTACTCCGTTTTCCTGTGAAAGATAATGTTTCACTCTTTCTGCGTTCTTTCATCTCTTGTTTGAAATTAAAGTGAAAAATTAATTCAGTTGTTCCAATGAATTCAGCTAGCGAAGCAATGAGCTCCTTACCACTATTAGGTTTTCAGTTTTGCTTTTGATTTGGAAGGATTTTTAGCCATAGTACTTTCCTGATTATACATACACATGAATATAATGTATATATAGTGCATATTATATATAAATGTTTTCTAACATACATATAAATAAAGCATGTACATTTTGAAATTATTAATATCCTATCTTATAGTTTAGAGTGTTTCCTTATTTTTACTTATTTATAACATAATTGGTATAAATTGATCATGTATAGGAGAATTGAAAACAGTATAAAATCAGACTATTAAGAAAGACTTCTTCATTGTCATGTGTGGGGAGATGTTAGATTTTGGATTGATGACAAATTTATCTTTGCTCTTTCTTTTAAAAAAGCAGAGAGAGGGTAATTTCCTCTGGGCTTATAAAATAACATCCCGTTTTCCAAAATCTGAAAAAAATTCCTATGTACAGCTTTCAATATAAATTTTTATTTGGATACTTTCTATGGTTTTATGAATCTGATTTGATGCCAGGAATTCAGAGGAAATTTAAATGCCAGTAAGACGTTTGGACTTGCTATTCTAATACCGACACACTCTGCAGTTTCATCCTGAAATAGTCATTAGAAAGAATGTAAAGTTGGAAAGAAACACATTTTGTGGAAATCTCTTTATATCGTAAGACACATTTGGACACATCAAAACGAACTGCTGTACTTTACCATCAGTAACTTCCAAGTACGCTTTAGTGATGATACTTCCGGCGACATTTAAAGTCTGGCAGATGTAGTAGCCAACATCAGACCGCTGGACGTTGGTGATAGTGAGGTCGCCAGTCTGGGAGACAGAAAAGCGGCTGGAGGACTGTGGAGGTTGGTACGAGAAAAGCAGGTTCTACACCCCAGAATTTGGGAGGAAAGAATACAAATAGATTAATTGCTAGGTTCTACTATTTAGGCAGAGCTACACACACATTTATAAATACATGTATAAAGATAGACATACAGATAAAGATACAAAAATAAGCCACTCACTCATTGCATACCCATGTGGGCATATACAAACACATACAAATGGAGCTTCATAATACAACTTTAAATGGAATCATATAAAAAATGGAATAAACTGTGGATATTGACATTTGTTTTTATAACCATCAGTGTTGAAATAGTCCTAGATATATAATGACATCAGATAAAGTTACAGTAGAAATTACATGCTTAAGCAAACTGACAAAGCCTTGCGTATATGAATATTAACATTATAATCCTGAAACCTTTCTAAAATATATAAGCAATGGTAAATTTAAATTCATTCGATAAATTCCAGCACATCATTTAGTACATTAGCTAAATGACAAGCATCTGTTAGCTGCCTACTATAAAGGCCCAGAAGCCTTCATAGTTATTTATCTTATTCTCCTTAAAAAGTAAAAATATATAATATAGGTAGAGTATAAGATATTATATGTATATATATATTTAAAAATTCATAAATTACAGTAAATCAAAAGATCATTCTTCTTAGGAGTGTATATTTTATATAGACCAGTGTATCATATAGTAGTTCATGAAACAAAGAATATGGATTTTTCCTAATTAAAGTAAGTTGTCTCTTTTTCAAAGTTTGCATCTTTCAGCATACAGAATTTTATAATGTGCGTCATTCAACCAAATCCAGTTTTTGAAAATTTAGAGTTGAACTTAAATAAATCATCTAAATATTACTTTTTTTGCGGGAGATCCGTTAAGGAATTAAGGCCTAACTGGCATCCTCTGTGGGCTTAAGGAGAAAGGCAGGGCACAGGGTGATGGCACACTGCATAGTCAAGGGCAGAGTTTATACTGAGATTAAGTTTTTTGCGTGAACATGTATTCATGCACATTGGAAGGCAGGTGAATCTGGTGTTACGTGAACTGCCTGTACCCATTTCTGGGTGAATAAAAACAAGATGAGCCAGAGGAACAGGCTTCTCTGCCCAGTGGAGACCAAGCCCCAGGCTGCCTGCATGTTAAACGGCTGGGTCCTGTGTGTCTTATTTTGTCCCTAGGCAGAGGAACAAACTAGTCACAGGACTAGGACCCTACAGGTGCTGCCTTTGGTAGGGAAAGCTCAGCTTGGAGGACAGCATTGGTGCCCCATGGTGGCTCGTGGGAAAGGGAGCTGGGACAGAGACAGGCCTGACTCTGGGTCTGCTACATCTTACAAAGAGGATTTCTAGTGGAGTTACCACCCTTCATACATAGCTATTCTTCTGTAGTCCACTTCCAACTCATCCTACCATACTACAATAATGTAGCTTTTTTTTGTGTTTAACATACTATTTGAAAATTTAAGCCCATGAGACCAAATGAATATTTGAATCCACAAGATACTAGAATGCAAATAATCATGCACATATCCTACTCAGTTCAACATTTGCCAAAATAGAAACAAGAGGGAACTCGATGGTGCTCCCGACAAAAGATTATTCAGTTTAATGAGTAAACTACCTGTCAACAGTGTATAAATGCACATTAGAAGCAAGACCATGAACATAACATCCAGAATTGACTCAAGCCAGAATTAGAGCTAATAGAAACTCTGTTAAGAATTAATTGACTAGGGG